CTCCTCCCTTGAATCAACAAAGGACGTTGTAACCCTTTTTGCGTACCACTTATTTCGCTTAGTCTGGAATCCTTGCCACGTTCCTTTATACTTGCGCGGATGTGCTTGGGCATAATTTATGATAGTAATCTTTCAGCTTTCCCCGTGTCGATTTACTCCGGATCTTATGTCCTTTCTCCACCTTCGAGCATTGAACTAAAATTGATTAGTACTGCATTGAAACCTCGGTGCACTTCTGTCTCGCTGCTTATAGTCCTTTCACTTTTCAGTGTTCACATCTATAGCATGGCTTGTACGTACAAAATTCCGTCGTCGAATCAGCGTCACCATCTAAATCCGAGACATTTTCAAGGTTCAACTTATCTGACACCATAATATGATGGTGAAACATTAAACGTGTCATTCACGCTGAGTAGCATTTTCCCTTCGTTCCACTTCCAGTTATCTCTACGGATGCGGCGCTCTGCCAGTTACTGCGATTGATCCTAGTACCCCCCCTCGTGTGCCTCTGAGTCCCCATTTGATTACCTCAAGATGCGACTGTAGGACGAGGCCAGATCGGCAGGAAGAAAGTACCCCGAACGCTCGAAAAGGCCATCCGGTGGCGATTCAGTGTGTCTTGGATATGACTGAGTTTCGCCACTGCCAGTCAGGTTACGCTAGTTTCACTTCGGTGTGCCGTAGTCGTACGGCGACCTTGGGCTACAAATACGCCATGGGGCGTGTCAAGTGTCCAACCTCCCACACCCATGCAAGCTTATCGTATTCCCAACTTCCTCCGTCTTCTTCCCAAGAAACCAGGTGGCGAGATCAGTCCCTACTTCAAGGACGCTGATAACGGGTACCACTCTTGGGTTCGCGAGAAAATCGGCTGGCTCTTCGCCATCGTGCGTATTTCTTACTTGCACTCGTTGACCCAGTCCCCTCTGAATCCCAACCTTAGGAGGTCTATAATGCAGAAATGCCACTGCTAGCGGCTTTAGCATGGCCTCTCGCTTCTTGTAAGGAGTTGAGAGGGATTCTCGATTACATGACAACATCGTTCATGCTGGAGGAGCTGACGTGGGCACCATTCCGCTGCTTCATCTACGTGCGTTTACTGAGCTTTGTCTACTAGCGATCGTTGTTCGAGCACAAAGGCTGTCGCCCGCTCACAATTGTGGATGAGAACACTCTCGCAATGTGACAAAGGAGACAACTCTCGTCATCCGTTCATCCAAACAATGCGCAGGTTGGTTACTAGATGCTAGTCGCAAGTCGCTTTTATCCTGATGATCGTATGTATCGCAGGGAATTGGTCCCTAGCATCAAAGCTGCCGTCGACCCTTTCCACTGGCCGCAGTTCATCGACTCGAACGAACACTTTTCCAGGAACACCATTCAAGAAGCCCTTGATCGAGAAGCACACTCTAAGAAGACAGTCATTCGTGACATCCAAACTTATACGGTGATGCGTCGAGAGTCTATCGGTACCCGTCCGTGCCTTGTTCTGATGCGGTCTACTCGCCGTCTCTACATCCCCGACGACGTCTTAATACATCCCACCATAAGGGAGATGGAGGATGTCGCATTGGACATGGTTTTCATCGTTAACGTAAGAACCCTCTTCTAGTCCTTTCTCCACTGAAACCTGGATCACCAACACCTTTGTATGCAGGACGTTTACTCTTTCAAGAAAGAACGCGGTGATAACGGGGGGTTGAACAACCTTCTAATCGTCATGCAAAAAGATCCGGTCACTGATCATCTGGATCTACAGCAGAGGCTCGATTTTACCGAGAAATTGTTCAAGGCAGCCCTTGACCGCTTCTACGCGTGCAAGAAAACGTTACCTTCATATAATCGGGATCTGGATCAGCACCTCGCAGCGTATGCTGACGGACTGATCGACTGGATAGCGGGGAACATCCAGTGGAGTGCTGTGAACCACCGTTACAACACGTTCGTGGACGACCAAGACAGAAAGAATCATATCATGCGATTGGAGTTTGATGGTCCTCGTCGCAAATTACAGCGATTTTCGCTGGTTTTCCTTGCTGCACTGACCGTCACTCTGTTGTATTGTTTCTTGTGATTTTTTGTACCGTGATTTCACCAATGCTTGCTCTGAGATTTTATGTTTAATATGATGAAACCTGTCCCCAGTGACGCTCTTGGTAGGGTACCTACTAGACTTATTCTTTACTTCCTCGAATTGTATTTGGGGTCAACCAATTTCACCCTCCTTTTGTCGACTTCCCAGGTCTCTACAGGACCCTCACACTTGACGAGCCAAACCTCCACGCCATCAAAGCCCGTGAGACGGACATCCCCACACTGTAGTGAGATCGACTGCCCATCACCAATCTGGCGAACGACACCCGTGTCTGTCATCATGTGCGCTATTTCATCGCGATCCGCCTTGTCTTGGTCCGCAATGTAACACAACGACATGTGCGGAAACCGCGGGGCACTGGGTTTAAGACCACAATCGCGCAAGTGGGCCAGTATCTGGTTCTGGAAACCGACGAGTTCCTGCGTTGGATGGATGTCAATAAACACGGAGCGGTAGTAATGATCGCCGACGGCGAGCGATCGGAAATTAGCATGGATCGGTGGGTGATTCTCGGGGACGGCGTTGAGGAGAACATCCGGGATCCCAAGATCTGATGAGGGGACGGTCGCAAGAGTGATGTGGGGTAGGATAGTGGGGTAGGAACTCGGGGAGTGATGATGATCTGTCGAAGCACATCTGGGGAGACTGGATTTGATCATATCCATCTGTGCCACTAGCCAGAGAGAAATGCCTGAACAGAAGTTGCGTGAGGAATCACCGTCACTTGGCCTTTGGACCTTACCCATCCTGAGTCAATGCAAAGCTGATTGAATTGTGTGGAACCAACAGTTGAACGTCGCAAAGACGAGACCAAGTTAATTTACGCACGACGAAAGCCTCGCAGACACAGATTCAGTGTAAGTGCTCACAATTACTATCAGTAAAAAAACTTCCGAACTAATGCTTCCAGATACTGTCCGTACATCACTCGGAGGACTCACGCAGGTCCCAAGCTCACCCAGCTACTTCCGACACCAGGTGCTCTCAAGATCTCCGTCATTACTCTCCACATCCGCGTCGGAGCCCAGCTCATGTTCGTTGCCATCGGGATGCGGATCGGGTAGTACTACAGGTTTTGAAATGGTGGAGACTGGTGGCATTGACTGGTGCTGAACTGAGGGAGTTACTCCAGGGCCTGGGGCAGGCTCTGTGTGAGAGGTAGGAACTACGGATCTGGCGGCACAATTCCTGTCAGCCCAAGACGGAATATGTAAAAGACGATTTCGGATGTCCACCAGGAGGTGAGGGAGAACCAGAAGGCCATCCAGGACTACGGGAGGAAGGTACGATGCGAATGTATAAGTACCAGCTAACGAAGGATGGCGTAAGCTGGCAGAATGGCGACACAGTGCTGACATACCTCCTGCCCCAACAGAAAACCTATCGCCACGTATCCAGTTCTTGACCTTTTCATATAGAAGACCAATACCAATACCAAAAACGACTTTTCCGGAATATCTTGCTTTAGTTCCGGCACTGACCACGCCGACAAGGCTGTCGACAAAAGTAGACACATCCACTGGAACACGTGAAGCACGTGTCTCTCTGAGGGAACTGAATGCCGCCCCATAAGTGGCTTTCTCGGAGGGTGTCCAATCGTCCATGTTGACCCCGACGTCGGGATCACTCGTAGATGGACCAACTGCCCCTACGTCAACCGTTACAATACGGATCGTGTTCATCCCTCGGGCGGAAGCAATTTCCCGGCGGAGAACATCGGCTGCACGGAGAGTGGCAGCAGCGCTCATAGCACTCACGCTGCCAAATGGTAATCCCACACGTGCGTCAGCAGCTGGTAAACATATGATCACAGACTTGTGACCACGTGCACGTGAGGCGTCTGTGCGGAGCAATGGCAGTAAGGCCTGGATTGCTTGAAGTGGTGCAATGTGTGTGGAAAGCAGATGGGGAAGATAAATGCTGCGCAAGGAGATTTGTTCGAACGGCGCTGGTGCACAGTGAACAGCGGTGGTTGGCATGCCCAGCAACGATATCACTGAATGGACCAGAGGGTGATAAGAAGTGGGCGCGTATGGGTCACCTGCGACAGTTATAGGAAATCGTCGGGAAAGTGTCGATGCCAAAGAACGAAGGAAAATGGGGATTGTCCCCGGCTGGGGTAAAATGGTCGATCATCTCTTTGACCAAGATTGGTGAAAACGTACCTCGTTAGGATCCAGGATAAGGGCGCGAACGAAGCCATGGCTCTTGCTTTCAATGTCATTGACAGCTCCTGGGGAGGAAACACTAGTGACGACAATATAACCTTGTTTCTCAAGCTCCATGACCTAGAGGAAGTCCCAAGGGATGATCACCGCCCAAAATAACAACTTGAAAAGATGTTAAGTTAGCGCCATGAAGGATGAGCGAGAGTACACACCAATAGCCTGGCGTTTCTCGCCTTGTGGAGACATTATCTTGACCCTTTTCCCCTTGAGGGACCTCATGCGGGCGACACCGTATCCCACGAGTAAGCCTGCTCCGAGAACTGAAACGACCATGCCCGATGATATCCATGGATTCTGGACAACGAAGTCCCCAGCTCTGTCGATCAATGACTTCGGTGGAGGTGGAGAGGGTGGAGGGGGTGGGGGTACTTCGAATGCCCCAAGTCCGGGAACATGGATGTCCGGGAGAGAAGGCAGGCCACGAGGACCGAAGCGAGAAATGTCGAGCCACAGGCGGTTTACAGTTTCTTGGATGTTTGGAAGATCAGGTGAAGCGGCTGCCAGGGTGTCGGTGACAAGACGTTCGACATGGTCGAAATACTGTTCTAATTCGTCGATAGTCGGCACCATGATTCGTCGTGGTCAAGCACAATCAAGCACAAAATGGTACTGGCCTCTTTGATAGAGCACAGCATCATCTAATACTAGCATTTAAAGGAAAAGAAAAAAAAACACGTCGACGCCAGCAGGATTCGAACCTACGCACTCAAAGAGTAACAGATTTCTAATCTGTCGCCGTAACCACTTGGCTATGGCGCCCATGCCAACTGACTCAAGGCGATACGTCACAGCGTCAATCGTTCTTGAACATTCACAGCGAGGTATGAGGAAAATTTTCGTGTCACTGAATGCTACACGATTAACCACAAAGTACGAAAGCAGTGAGTAGCATCATGTATATAACATCTATGTCTCTAGTTGCCACCCATCTCTTTGGCGAGCTGCTCAGCTTTTGCCTTGACGTCCTCGATCGTCCCGGCCATATAGAAAGCAGACTCAGGTAGTTGGTCGTGGGCACCAGAAAGAATTTCCTTGAACGACCGAACGGTGTCCTTCAGGGAAACGAGTTTGCCCTCGTAACCGGTGAAGACCTGTGCAACTTGGAATGGTTGCGACATGAAACGCTGGATTTTACGAGCACGCTCGACCTTGATGCATCTCATTACCAAACTGATCAGAGTTAACATAGGCATGCACGTACGGTCAATTTGTCTTCCTCTGACAACTCGTCCATACCCAAGATAGCAATGATATCTTGTAAGGACTTGTAATCTTGAAGGATCTTCTGGACGGCAGTAGCAACTTCGTAGTGCTCCTGTCCAACGATACGAGGATCAAGCATACGAGATTTCGAGTCCAAGGGGTCGACAGCAGGGTAAATTCCGAGTTCAGCAATACCACGGGATAGCACAGTCGTGGCATCCAAGTGAGCGAAGGTAGTTGCCGGGGCAGGATCAGTCAAGTCATCTGCAGGGACGTAGACAGCTTGCACGGAAGTGATTGAACCCTTCTTCGTGGTTGTGATACGTTCTTGCCTAGAATCCTGTCAGAATGCGAATGGGAACCATAGAAAGCCACATACATGCCACCCATATCAGTTGAAAGAGTTGGTTGATAACCGACGGCTGAGGGAATACGACCGAGCAAGGCGGATACCTCAGAACCAGCCTGAGTGAAACGGAAGATATTGTCGATGAAGAGCAGCACAGTCTTGACCTTCTTCGTCACGGAAATATTCGGCAATAGTCAAACCGGTCAAGGCAACACGAGCACGAGCACCAGGGGGTTCGTTCATCTGACCGAAGACCAATGCGACCTTGGAGTCACCCTCCAAGTTGATAACACCGGTTTCAATCATTTCGTGGTAGAGATCATTACCCTCACGAGTCCGCTCACCGACACCTAAGGAACAAGAAAATTTTGAATAGACGGTCTATTTGAAATGCGAATTTAACTTACCACAGAAGATTGAGAAACCACCGTGAGCTTTAGCCACGTTGTTGATCAATTCCTGAATCAATACAGTTTTACCGACACCAGCACCACCGAAAAGACCGATTTTTCCACCACGAGCATAGGGAGCGAGAAGATCGACGACCTTGATACCGGTTTCGAGGACCTCGGCGGTGGTTGACTGATCAACGAAGGCAGGAGGGTCGGCGTGAATGGGACAGAGCTTGACACCCTTGATGGGACCACGTTCGTCAATGGGTTCGCCAATGACGTTCATAATTCGGCCCAAAGTTGCAGCTCCGACGGGAATCTGAATGGGGGCGCCGGTGTCCACGACCCTCTGTCCACGAACAAGACCCTCTGTACCGTCCATAGCAATCGTACGAACGGAGTTCTCGCCGAGATGTGAAGCAACCTCAAGAACAAGACGACCACCGTGGAAGTCCTGTACCTCAAGGGCGTTGAGGATGGGAGGGAGGGTATCCGTTTCGAATTGAACGTCGACGACGGCACCAATGACCGTCTTCACGGTACCAATGGCTGCCTTGGCTTCCGATGCATAATGACGCACTACATCCGAGCCATGAAAAGAGGAGCGGAATGCTATGAACACCCCAAAGCAAAGGGAAACGAGAGAAAGACTGACCTGGCTGGGCAAGCGGAGGTGCGTTGAGGACGAGTAGCTGGGATTTTGCTTGGACGGGGAAGGAGGGAAGGAGGAGCGGGCCAGCAAGGGGGAGGCAGTTTGCAAGAACCGGGTAGGGTTCTTTGCGACCCTCCTGGAAACGCGAGTGACGCCCCGAGCGGTGAACATTGTGGTGAACGACGAAAGAGCAAAGGGAATTCGAGTAAAAGAAATACTCGTCCCGACGCGCCAAGCTAGACTTCAAACTCAGATCAAATCTCCGCTACACCCGATTTCAGCCGTGTCGCTTATGTAAATTCAGTCGAGTAGCCACAGACGCGTATTTTTCCCACGGACGCGTTACTCACTTGCAATGAACGATCCCTTTCTGCCAACGGGATCCTCTTTCTTACCGAATGGCCTCCTGGGTAGCTCGTCCATCTCCACCCTGGACACTCCGTACAGCCAAAACATACCTCATTCAAGGCCCTTGCGCAGAGGACGATGGTACGCCGCATTGTTTCCAGTCTTCGCGCATTCTTACAGGTCCTTCACCAGAATCACTTTCACCATCGCAGGGTAACCACTTCAGCTTCTAATCATTGTCCTCTTTCTCATGTAAATTAGATGATACCTTCCTTCCAATTTCAGCTATCTTGGGTCTCAAATCCGATCACTTCAGCGAGACCTCGCTGCTACCCTCATGCTCTCGCGTGCCTCTTCGCGCGACAACACTTGATGGAGAACCAGTACTCATCTCCCGCAAATCCCGGATGGCAACCACGCGAAAAGTGCGGAATCTCACACATATTCCTACCTTCATTAACTTTACCATAAGTCCTCTTCGACTTCGTCAATGGCAGACCTACTGGACGTACCTATTCACAGGCTCATGGATGAGCTTTCGGCATCCGTGTCTTTGATCACTGACAGTTCAGTATGTACATGCATCTTTTGGTGCGCTTCACGTGGCTCTCATACAAAAGGAAAAGGATTTCAGATTCACAAAAGTCTGCGTCTCACCGTCCACTCGATGACACGTTATGGGTCGATCAGTATCGGCCCCAGCGCTTCACAGAACTTCTTGGTAATGAAAGGGTAGCCAGGGAAGTGATGGCTTGGGTAAAACAATGGGACTGGTGCGTCTTCGGTAAGCGAAGATATAAGAAACGGCCCAGAGAAGACGAGCAGGACTATGATCCCGAGGATGAATACCATCGACCTAGAGAAAAGGTCAGTTGGCTCGTAACGTCGTGTTTCTGGACATCAACTTCCCTATCATCAGCTCCTCTTGATATCCGGACCTCCTGGGCTCGGGAAGACTACGCTAGCACACGTCATTGCTGCTCAGGCGGGTTACGAAGTGGTGGAAATAAACGCCAGGTTCGCGCATGGCTATGGCCACCCTTATCTTCAACTAAATGTACTACAGTGACACACGTTCAGCAGCAATCGATCGATGACCGGGTCCGTCCCATACTTGAATCAGGCTCTACAGTCAGAAGCATGAAGCCTGTCTTACTCATTATCGATGAGATTGACGGTGCCACCGGCGGTAGTGGTGACAACGTATGTCGCAATTTTGGCCACCTTCTAGTACTGAAGTAAAATTTTCTCAGTCCAGCGGGTTTGTTCAGAAACTGGTCTCATTGACTTTCGATAGACCAAAGAGAAAGCGTAAGCTATTTCTTTACGAATTCCTACTTCGACTTAAACTACTGAACAGGGAAGGGTGGAGCTCAGAATGACAAGCGACCTTTACTGAGGCCCATCATCTGCATATGTAACGACCAGAACGCGCACTCCCTCGCTAAATTGCGTCCACATGCAAGGCAGATTCGATACACGCGACCAGCTGATATTCACATTGTCAAACGGCTTCGGGAGATCTGCGAGCTCGAAGGGTTGGATACAGATACAAGAGCGCTCAGTACTTTGGTTCAAGTCGCGAAGGGTGATCTTAGAGGTTGTATGAACACCCTGCAGGTCTGTCATCCCGCTCTATGCCTTAGATATGTTGTTGATCAGTACGGAACAGTTTATAAAATCACGCAACGAGTGCGTTACCGAGGAGTTGATTCGTCGTGCCACGGTTGGCATGAAAGAGACGGATGTTACGGCAACAGCAGTCCTGAACGACATATTTTCCCCTCTGTCGCGCAAGCGTATTCGGGAACTAGCAATGAGTGATATAGAGGAGACACGATATGTGAATCGCCTCAGTCGAGCTATAGAAGCACTCAACAACTTCCCTAACATCGCCAACGGTATGTCTTCTTGCAGATAATCTTCCATTGTCGTTGAATCCTTTTAGGATGCTTTGCGCATTATACAGATTGCCACAGACACGAGGCAAGCGTGACTCGATATGAGATGGCAAATGAGTGGTTAGGAACATTTGACATATTCTCCTCGGCTATGTATGCCGACGGTGATTTTGGCCTGCAAGTATATCTTCCCTACCTTCTCGTTCCATTCCATCCACTGTGCCGAGAACGTGCAGGGAAACGAGTCGAAAGAGACTCTACAGACTGGGATGTAAGCACCTCTCAAAGTCGTGCTTCACAACTGCTGATATCCGTTGACCGTAGAATTTATTGGTTACACGAACCAACGAGGACATTCTGAAGTCAATTTGCGATGGGATTCACACTTCCGGCAAGAACACAGCTTCTAATCGACATCTGATCATGGGTCAAGTTCTCCCGTTAGAATTTGCTCCTTACATCAACCGTATCATATCACCTCCTTTGCGACCCGTGAGTCCACTTGAAAGTCTACGGTCGAACCAAAATCAGCTTATCTTCTCTCATTATAGGTGAATAGTCAGATCATCAGACCTGGAGAACGTGCTCTGCTCACCCGTCTTGTCGAGATCATGGTTTCGCTTGAACTTCGCTTCGTTCAAGAAAAAACAGAGGATGGCCAACTGGTTTATAGACTCGACCCGTGTGTACGGTCACAACTTGAGTTTGTTTGCCACTTATGAGGAGACAGGCCAATAGATGTTTTCGTGACCTACGACGGGAAGCGCGCAGATGATATTGCAATCTCAAGATATGCTGTTCGTCACCTTATTGCTACGGAGGTTGGTACCTTCTTCATCCCTGGTCCCTCCAGCTGACCTCGTCACAGATCGACACTGCGCTGGCCGCTCGACTGGCAGTCGCGACTGAAAAAA